CGAACAAGACCCTGTCTTGCAATAAAACAAAGCATTTCTATTACTTCCACAAAAAATCTCCATATCTGTTGGTTGTTGCTTCTGTCTCGCCCCCCTCCCAGCTCCCTAGTTTCTATTTATCACCTTTCTTGTCTCAGGATTTCCTAGCTAGGCCATTTCCTGTAAATGTACGTTATGTGACCTTCTGTGACTAGATTCATTCAGTATATTTTCAGCTGTGTTACGGAGTCACTCCTTTTTAGGGCAGAGTCGTATTCCTTGGTTTGAATGTGCTGCCTTTTATTTACCCATTCAGCTGTCTGTACACATTTGGGGTTTCTTGGTCTGCCTGTCACGGTAATGTGGCTTGGAAGTAAACATCTGTGTCCGAGTTTTTATGTAGACGTAGACTTTGGGACCTCCCAGGTGTGTACCTAGGAGTGGACCTCAAGGGACACATGGTAGCTCCAGGTTTAAGTTCTTAGGGTGCTGCCGACTGTTTTTGCAAAGCAGCCCCACCACCTGACATTCCTGTGGGGCTTCTCAGGCGGGCTCTTCTGAGCTCCCAGGGCCACTCTTGCCCCAAGGCCATGTCTAGTCTGGACGGTCACCTGCTTTGGCCCTGAAGGACACAGAGAAGCCTCTGTGGATGATGTCAGCCCCACTCATCTTTCACTTCCCACTAATCTGCTGAGAGGGCGGTCAGCACGGCCCAGATATGGTGTGACGGAGGAGGGGGACGCTTGGGTTACCAGTCTGGGCTCTTCTCGCTCACTCCTTGTGCAGCCTGGCGGAGTCTCTTTCGCTGTCTGAGTCTCTCTGGGCAAAGCTGGCAGGGAAGCCTCCAAGGGGCCAAGCTTAGCATTCTGCTTGCAACGTTTAACTTCCGGGCACTGCGCACATACTGGGGTGAGCATCATTTGTTCTCCCCAGTCTGTGGAGGGCGCCCTTGCGCCTTCTCCACCCCTCTTCAGTCCCTCCCTCTTTTCTCCCCAGTTTGTCTGAGCTGCTGGATTCGCTGTTAGACACCGGACTGTCAGAAGCCATTGAGCTCAAAGTGTCTCATATTTTGGATCATTTCTCATTTCAGAGTTTTGGATTAGAGATACTGAGCTGGTGTGGGCTTGAGAGTGGGACCTTTATCCTCACACTGCCCACTTGCCGAGCAGGAGGCCTCCTGCAGCCACCTCCCAATGCATGCTGGGGTGTAGTAGAGGCATCTTTGTGTCCCCAGGCCCTGACCCACTATCTGGGGACCTCCAATAAATGTAGATAAGTGTGATTAGAAAGCAGTGCTCCAAGTATCACAACCTCACTCTGTACCCATCCTGTTCCAGCCTTCGGCCTGGGTGATCTTCCCAACCTGCTGGGCCTCGCGGGGGACCAGCTGGGGGACACGGAGAGGAAGCGGCGCCATGCCAAGCCGGGCAGCTACAGCATCGAGGTGCTGCTGGTGGTGGACGACTCAGTGGTTCGCTTCCATGGCAGGGAGCACGTGCAGAACTACGTGCTAACCCTCATGAACATCGTGAGTGTCCTGTGCCCTGGGGC